TTTCCCCCTAACTCAGTAGTAATCCCTCCCTCACAGCTACAGGTGGTCTAACTCTGCTTTGGCTTTCAGAAAGAAAATATTAAATTCAAGAGTAGGGATAAAGGAGCAGGGGTGGGGATACCCAGGGAGAGAAGTGGGCAGCTGGATGAATGACAAGAAAACAGAGATGGAGCCCAAGTAGATAAAAACTCGGTGGGAATAGATGACCTTGACTGTGACAACCTGTGTGTCTGCAGCACTGACTGAGGGAAGGAAAGAACCCCCACGAATTGTGCTTTAGCCTCCACTGCCTTTTAAAATGACAAAAGCTGGATTTGAAAAAACAATTTTCTCATTACTTGAAACAGACGGGAAACATACTTTGAGCTGCACAGAGGGATTGTGTTCTCGAAGGTGTTCACTTATCCAAAGTAATCCCACACTGCTGATTTTAATTTCCTTTTTGGTGGCTGAAGTTTGGTGATAGGCTATCAGCTTCCTTCTCTCTGCCATTTGTCCGTTGCCTGTGTGTGTACGGCGCCGGTTGAGTCTAACAGGCAGTCAAGGAAGAAAGTTGTGCAGGTATATTGTTTTTTTCCCTTCAGTACGGGTCATAAGCAAATGTGCATGGTATGATAACCATCAATTTTCATACCATGATACACTGCAACAAAATTAGCCACCTTGAGTCACAACAGTCCAGCAGTCTGTCATGTAAACAGTTACAGTCTATGTACTGCTGTCACTCTGGATATTGAGCAGACTATCTCATACAGAACCTAGAGACCACATCTTTGAGAAGGATGGATTGAAAAAAGACTGCATACTGATCGGAGCTCTCCATTTGGGTTTGTTGAGGAGATATTATCTCTGGCTACAAGATGTGAGGCTGTAAAGTTGACTGAGCAGTGTGTGGATTGATTCTACTTTATTCAGCTGGTGAGCTAACTGGCTGATGTGTTAGCACAGGCAATCCAGATGAATTTCAGTTTCTGTGCTCAAAGTGATGCAGATGTCTGTACTTGGCCGAAGCAACTGGTGCTGACAGTCCATGTACAGATGTATAGGATAGGATTTATTTTTTTAAAACACAAAGATGATGCCTTTGTAAGTGGTGCAGGATTATTCTTTATTCTTGCTCAACTGTTTTGCACCTGTAGCCCTTTTAAAAATGGCAAATGTATCATGTTTCAGTTGTTTTGCATTTGCCAAGGAAAATAAATCCTAGGCCCACAGTTTTATAACTGGGAAATGTGTTACCAATTAGTCTATGATGCGGACTTCACACACATACCAGACTGGTGACAAATTAAAGGAAAACCTGAATAAACAAGCGGTCTCTTCCAAGCTAATGACAATGTCCCCATGGACACAAGGGGTCACCGAATTGTTTGAAGAGTATGAAAATAATAAAAATCATATGTTGTGGCCTTCATAGTCACCAGAACACCGTCTGTTGGAACAATGGTGTTGGTCCCTCCAGTAGAGTCCAGAGACTTTTAGAACCAATGCCAAGATGCACTGAAGCTGTTCTGGTGGTTCTTGGATGTAACCAAATTGTCAAGAATCAAACAAATTGGGAGATCAGCGCCAATATCCAGGCCTATAAATGGTATTAGGTCAACATTCTCCATTCTCACATCATGGAACCACAATCATAGAACATAAGGCAGCCAGGTAAATCTGAAAATGTCAGCTGAGGTTTGCATGTGTGTGTGGGTGTACACTATTCCTACCTCTTCTGACAGTTGCAAGTAGTGGGTCTCAGCAGTGGCAAGGATAAGGACAGGGCTGAAAGAGGGCACATCCTGCAGCAAGGTGAGAAAAGTGCTCTTCACAGTGTCTCCCACTGTCTCCCACCACTCTGAGATATGTGGCATGAACACTACGCTGGGCACACTCCGACGGGCCTCACGGAAAACCTAGAACCACACAGATAGGTCAAACACATTGTCGCTTAAATCTGAATGGATAAAAAAAGCAATACTACAAACGATTTAACCTGAAAGTAAGGCTTAACTACAAGTACCCCGCTAAAGCTTGAAGAAACAATGTGTATGTATTACCTGAGCACAGGACTCCTCTGGTGTCTTAGTACTGACGGAGTAGAGAGTGGGCAAGTCCAGGCGATGCACTGGCAGCTTGTCCAGGTGGTGCAGCAAGGCAGGGGCCAAATGGGAGCTCTGTCCTGAGCCCAAGGGCCCAGCCAGAAGCAGACGGGGCCGGTAAGCTGTGGGCTGTTGAAGTGCAGAGCTAGAAGCAGATGAAAGTTCATAGTCAGTGCTGTATCCATCACCTGCCCATTTGTTTTGTTTTCAAATTGGCCACAAAGTACACAGACCGTCAGATGTCATGATTAAGCATCATGCCTCTGCTACAGAGACTCCAGCGGTTGTGTAAAAGGAACACAGAAGCTGCATTTTGTTGGCTTTTTTAAGCTCAGTGTCAAAGGTCTTAAATCAAAAAGCTGCCTTGAAAGAGGGCCAAATTGCCAGACGTTTGCTGCGACTTCTGTGTAAAAGAAGCTATAGACACATAGAGGACATGATTCCTGCAGCACAGGCCCTGCTTACAGCAGCTTAGAGCTGCATCTGTACACAGTATCCTACTTAGACAAGCCAGAATTGACTGATTCTCCGCTCTCATCTCTCATCATTTCTCTTATACAGTATATTAGGGATATACATTACAGATAACTACCTTTACACCTGCAGGATGCCTGTATTGGAACCCTTAGAGGTTCCATTGCAGCACAGGTGTTTGATAACAAGATGTGGCAATTAGGCCAGTTAAACCCGACTCTGAGCGCACTAATAAAGACAGAGAGCCATAAAGCATAGTGTTGTTTTAATTCTGTTTGTTGACCATCCAATAAAGCCCTTCTACATATATAAATCCATACCATGAGCCTTGAGAGGATTTCTTTCATTTAATCACACACGGCACCATAGCAGAAAAAAAACTGCAATTCAGTAGCAAAAACTATAATTCTGATTTCAGAACTGTCTTCTCACCTTCTCTTTTCACTTTCATCCTCTCCTCTGATCTGGGCTTGTCTCCACAGCTGACAAAGCTCAGCCTGTAGAACCACTAAGCTCTGCTGTTGCTCATTCCACTTAATATACAGTCCGACTATTTTGATGAGTTGTATGAAAAATAAAGGTATACATTTACAAACAGGTTGCCTTCTACTAGGAAGATAATATCCAAGAGAACCGGGTCTACTATATATTAGTCAGAAAGCTATTCTGTATCAACATTCAGCATCAGTTCAATGTTTCAAAGAGCAAATACATGTTCTGTGTAGGTTGTTTCCCTGAAAGTGTTCCAAATAGTGTTTACACATCATGCTCAGTATGCTGTCTTTAAAATTCCTTGGCCTAGATCTTGTGACTAAAAACTTAGATGTATTTATTTTCACATTGATGTTTGTAGTAGCATACTTTGATGCCAGTGACTATGCACTTTAAATAAACACCTGTGGTGGCGTTTCGCCACAGGTTCTATGTTCAGTGTGTGAGGGTGATACAAAGCGCTCAGTCTCAGAGTCAAGTAGTATTTGATTTTATATAAACAACTATATAACCAGATGTCCATAAAAACTGAATTTCTGTTAACTCACGAGGAGAAATGGAGGAAAGGTCTGTGCATTGCAGAAGAGGAAGTTTGTCTCTCTGGGGATGCAGCAGGCTGGACTTCATATATGGAAGCAGAGCCTTCCTCATTGTCATCATCGCTGTACAAGTCCTCTTCAAGCAGATGATTGTCACCGCCTAGCACAGAGATGAACACTGCTTATAATACATGCTTACATAGAAGCTCCCATTTCCAGGAATTATTGAGCTTAATGGTGGTAAATGAACTTAACAGTTTGTTTCTAAATATTTAATCCTCAGAACAACCCTATGTCTGACATTAATGAAGCAATTTCACCAAAAAGTGAGAATAAAAGAAAGAGTTGGCTTATTAGGTGAGATGTAATGGGCATTTAAAGTGATACAGATCCCTGGGAAATTTATGTTATTATTGGGTGCAGGAAGTACAACTCCAGGAAGCAATTTCCCACTGGTCAAGTGGTGCACTGTGGCTAATCTGCTGTAAACACTGCTGTTGTTGACTGGAGTGGGAGCTGACTTACTGAAGCACCAGCAGGCTGACTGGTTATCCAGACTCTGCATACTCAAGGGGTGGCGTTTCACCACAGGTTCTATGTTCAGTGTGTGAGGGTGATACAAAGCATTCAGTCTCAGAGTCAAGCAGAATTTGATAATATCTTTCTTTATCACCTTCCCCTGTGACAATAGGGAAAGTGTGCTAACAAATGAGAAAGGTAGCAAGGCAGAAGAGAGCAAGAGACAGGGTGTGAGAAGCATCAACCAGCAGCAGGAAAGTGAAAACAAAGGATACAGCTGAGATCTGGGCCCCAGACACCTACCGTTTGTGTTGTCCCTGTCATTACACTGAGCATGGGGGAAGACACGAAGCAGAGCTTTCAGCACCGAGGAGAAAGAGCTGGCCAGCAATGGCCTGAGGGTGGGGGACAGGGCTCGGCCAGGAGGAGCCAAGGCCCTCTGTGAGGCTGGGACGATTGTCCTCATGGCCTTGCTGAAGTCGCCAGGCCCCAGGACGATGGAGGTGACATCAAGCTTCAGTTTGACGCTGCTGCCATAGATCTGGGGGTAGCGGCGGCGCAACGCCACCAAGGCTGCCTCTGTGCAAAGTGCTTTGATGTCAGCACCACAGTAGCCTGGGAGCAAGGCAGACATAAAAAGGTTCGTCAGTCATCTGTTTTGGTTTTACGAGTCATTTTCAAATGGCACAGAGAACATGGATGTCGGCAGGACAAAGAGTTTCTTAAATATATTCTCTACTGTTATTACTGTGTGCTGATAATTCTGAAGTACGTCATTTAACAACACATATAATACAAAGGTGTCAAACTTACCGACACATTTTTCTGCAAGTTCATCTATAAATGGCTCAGCCAATTTGGGATTCCAGTCCCGTGTGTGAATCTCCAAGATGTGTTTTCTGGCCTGAAAAGAGGATTTGGGGTTGAAAAAAATAAAAAGACACAGACACACACAAACAAAAAAAACAAACAATAAATGCAGCACTGATAGGAACAACATGTCAAATGACACCAACAAGGCAACAATGCTAACTAGAGATGCCTCGATTGCAATTCTTGGCTAATTCCGAGTTGTTTTTTTTTTTTTTTTTTTTTTTTTCCTCACCCGCCCTCTTCAATTTTTTTCTTTCTCTCCAAGAACTATATTTGGTGGCATACACAGACATTTTTCTAACTTTTCTTTAATGAAAAATTTGTAATAAAAAAAAAAAAAAAGAAAAAAAATCACTGAATCAAATAGGGGTGGGATCGTGTATAACTTGCTTAGTATCTTGTTATAATGAGACGTTTTTCTCATTGTAATGTCCCAATCATGTTTCAGGCAATACTGAGAACAGGTGAAGTCAGTGTGGCTGCTGTTACACCAAGCTTCGCAGGGCTCACGTTAGGGTGTAGACATGATATGATCCACTTTAGGGGTGTGTGTGATATCATATTAGATCAGGCCATACATTTGAAACTACATACTACAGGTGATCATGCAGTGAACACCAGACACAGTGGCCTAATACTTGAGCAAAGAGACACACAGTGCGTACAGGCAACACTGCTCATATAGGTATATAACTTTCCACTGTTAACTACAGTGTTCATAGTTCAGCTCTGAGGACGGCACAGGCTGACCTACCTTCTGGTGTGGGTATAGCTTATGGATTTGCATTAACAGTCAATCCTGGAAAGGCCTTCGTTTTTTGCTCCCTTAATTTTCAAACCAGAGTCAAGTTTAAGGACCTCATTATATTATTTTGGTTGACAATTTTTAGTTATACCATTTCAGTCTGCTTTTAATGTTTTGCCAGGTTTCTATACATTGCAGTTTTCCATCCTATAACAATGCCTGGTAGGTCTACCAGCGATTGAACGCCGGAAGGTTAAATAACAGTTTGAGGGGCAGGGGTGGGAAGACGGTACGTCAAAATATTTCACAACTTCATCCATAAATTGAAAAATATTTTCACCTTATTGCCTGAAGAAGCATCAAATAGCTACAATATCACACACCCCTGCAGTGGATCAAAGCCACCCCATGACAGCAGCACACGGACCGGCTTCATGTGCTCTCAGAAATGCCTGTAAGATGCTGATCAGTACACGTTCAGTTTATGTATTATTTATCATTGCTCATAAGCTGCTTTTAAATGATGCTTTGTGTGCCCATATGTAAACAAATTATTGCATGTGGATTTTTTTTTTTTTTACAAACTTTTAACTAAAAATGAAGTGTAATATTTGTACACGAGCAGTGGTGTGTGCGATGGGAACTGTCCTGCCTCTAAAACAGAAATCTCAGAGTGATCGACCGGTCACCATTTCCAGTCTCCGTCAATCAATCGGTGCATCTCTAATGCCAACAATGTAAAAGAAGATTGAATTAATTTGTCATTTAAATAGTATGTTGTTTGAGATAAGAATAAAGAAACAACTTAGGAAATCACACCATAAATATCAATGAACAATGTCTCACTAGGTGTAGCCTTCTATCTAGAACTGACAAAACTACTAAGAGAAAAATCCAAACTGACTCAAGAACATGAGTGAGCTCAACTGAAGGGCTTGCTAACACAAAACACCATTAAACTCATTGCCAACGTCTCCACAGGACTCTGCTTTGATGATCAGACATGAAGAAAGCTCTTGTTGTGAATGAAGGGCAAAAGTTTTAACCACATCTCCCTTTCTGTACAAATGACACAACTCAAACAGATTTCATGCAGGCCCCTGGCCTCGGCAATACCAGGGGGGAGCTGAACTTTAATGTGTAGAGAGGCCTGCTATTTGCACAAAAGCAAGGTTTTTAAGCAGTCAGAGCTCACTACTGGTGATCTCAGCCAGCAATGGCCTGCAGCTTAGCCTTTGATCACCATTAATCCTACTGTGTGGACAAAGGATGCAAGCAACCCATTAAACAGGTTCAAAGAGGAAAGGGGGGGGGTCCAACTATACCAAGCTGTTGACTCACTGTCACTCCGTGTGATGTGGGACAAAAAACAAATTTCCATAAATGCAAGATCATCGGATCTGCATAATAATAAACCCGGCCAAGTTGATTTGTCACTTTCCAGAAACCTAATGGGCATCTGCTTTGTTACTTCCATGGTGGATCAGAACAGCGAGAGAAAAAACTGTAGGAGACTCCTAATAGCCAGAAGGCTGAATGTACTAATTTTGTCACAGGACTCTTATGAGTAAAACACTAATTACTTCAGCATTATATTGTGTCTCCAGCTGGGTGTGCAGATAGGGATAGCACTTTCTGTACTGTACAGTAAATGATCCTTCTACAGAATATCGCAGTGGTTGTGCAGGGAGAAACAGATAGTGTGGGCCAACATTTAAGATAAAGCCACTATTTATTCTTTGACTTTTATGTAGTGGTATCCAGTCTTTTAGGTATAAATCAATAATAATAAATTAAAAGTTGATCTTACTACCAAAAAAAAAATAATAATTCCAAGTACAGTAAAAACAAGACGATGTGTTGACAAAAAATGTGTCCATGTACGTGTCCACTGCACGTAATCTCGAGAGCTTACTCCCATCTCACCTTCTTGTCGGGCAGGTTGAACAGAAACTCCCGGTCAAAGCGTCCAGGCCTCCTGAGTGCTGGGTCGATAGAGTCGAGTCTGTTTGTAGCACCAATGACCACTATCTCCCCACGACTGTCCAATCCGTCCATCAAGGCCAGCAGAGTGGACACAATAGAACTGGACAGAGGGAAGGAGGCGACAGGACAGACTGTAAATCTTTAACTATTACATTTAGTAGTACATTGATTATTCTGTTGTATTAACACCAAACAGTAAAACTGCCTGACTTTATTGGAAGACATTTATATAATAAAAGCTATGTACATCTACTTTGCTTGCACACAAACACACAATGAGCAAAATGGTGTGAGGAAAACCTATAAAATGTTATATTTCCCTGGTTACTAGAGCCCCATGTATTTTTTTTTTTTACCAGGTATGGCAGAGAGAGGAGAGTATTTATAAACTTATGAATACACACATTTCATGATGTGAATAAACTGTGGTCCAGAATTGTAATGTTACATTTCACAAATGATTAATTTTTCAGATGGTAATGTTTTCTGAAGGATCAGCGGCAAGCTGTGTTAGCAGGATAGGAAACCTTTCACCACAAATGGTCCAAATTAGATGTGAAATTGTTATGATGACTGATCTCTACTGCTCAGTGCCAAATAAACAAAAACATGTGGGCTTAAGTGTCACTGATGTGGAGCACTGACATCCAGATGCAGCTTTGGCCGTGCACTTCCAGCGAACCTGTGCCACCTTTTGGCAAAGAAAGTAACAGCAGTATTGACCTGCAGATGCAGGCATCCGAAAGCGAAAGCAGGTAGATGTTTAACACTTTCACCACTACATGTCAACAGCTGTGTAGTACAGCTGGATTTTTTTATAGATGCTTTTGTGTGATTTTAAAAGGGGGAAACATGCAGAAAGTTCATTAGAGTTTCTGAGTGATGTGAAAGTCAGTGACTAGACATTGCTGACAATGTTGGAGATACTGATGTGTGCCAAGCATACACAAGTGTAAAGAGCAGTTGTACATTCTTGTACGATCACATTAGCCTCACCTGTGTATCTGGTCTTGCCTGCTGGAGCGAACAGGAGCCAAACCATCTATCTCATCAAAGAAAATAATGGATGGCCTCATCAGGTACGCCTGATGAAAAGCACACACACAAGATCAAGGTCAAACCCAAAAAACACATTATGTTCACTGAAAAAATACATTAAGGCCGGCGGGGATCGCTTTAATTTTGTTAAACTTTCTCATCTTTCTCAATAAGGTGAAAAACAATATGACAATACTAAAGGATCATTTAAATTTTTGTGAACCTTCTGTATTTCCACCAAAAGTGGCTGCTAATTTTCAGATCACTACCTCCTTTGCAGTGTTCATTTATCTCCAGTGTTCATTCATCTCTTCTTGCTAGTGAGGGAATACCAAGCAAGGAAAAAATGCTTCGTGCGGTAACTAATAAAATGACACAGTACATACTGGAGTTTTATCAACTGCTGCTGCACAGCAAAAAGAGACTCCAGCTGTGGCTAATTGCTCTGCAAATTGACCCAAGTATTACGAACACCGTCCCGCCGACTAGCGTGTGTGCAGCAAACATTTTGAAAGGGATGACTGTGTATGTTCTGTCAGATCCTGAACTACCAAACACTTTTTCCTCGGGTTGCATACCAAGTGCAGGTGTACACGTAGGCTAATGCTTATTATGTCATAGCAGTTCAGCACAAGTACTGCGCAATGATCAAATGCAGGATTATCATCTCCGCATATTGCTTCTGTGATCAGATTTATCTACTAAGTAACAGTAGTTTTGCTTTTTTGTTGTTGGAATAAACAAAAATTCACACAGACAAAAAAGATAATCCCATGAAAAGCGATTCAGTAAACTACAATAACAAAAATATTATGTCGTGTGTAGCATTTCTTAGAATTATGTAGCCTCAGACATGTTAGAGGAAGGATATGACTGAGTGATCAGGTCAGCCAACAAGTTGTCCCAGAGGTATATTCCTATGCAGTTAGCTGTAATGGCTACCCCAGACAACAGTCCAAATATTGTGTTAGCTTTCCTTCAGATTCAGAAACAAGCGTGAAAAATTATTTGACTGAAATCCTGTTTATTCTGAGCTCTCTCGGAGGCTAACCGACTGCCCTGATGACTGCCATTTAACTTGACTTTTCCTTTCCTATAATCTTTGTAACTGAGGTAATGATAGCAAAAATGGCACTAGGTATAGAGTCACAATACCCACCTTTAGGTTCAAAAAACCCAAAGTTATCCTTTATGTTACAGCATGCAGCACATAATACATGTAAGATTTGAAAACACTCTACCAGCAGTAAATGACTAGCTTCCAATTTACAGTGCAAAGTCAGTTCAGGTCAAGTGGCTGAAGCTATGGTTACAAGGGTTTTATAACAGAACTTGCATGTGACCACAACCATGTGCTGGGTCATTGACTCACCTGGTCAAAGAGCAGGCGCAGCTGGCGTTCTGATTCACCAACCCATTTACTGAGGCAGTCGGCCCCTTTCCTCATGAAGAAGGAAACCTTCCTGTCTCCCTGGCTACACTCATTGGCAAGCGCCCGTGCAACCAGGGTCTTTCCTGTCCCTGGAGGGCCATAGAACAAACATCCTCTAAAAGGGAGGGGAGAGGAAATGGAAACTGCATTTACTTGACAACTGTAAATTACAACACGTTTTCTACAAAAACATACACTCACCAGCCACCTTATTAGGTACACCTGTACAACCGTATGCAATTCAATGCAACACTTCTGTGGTGTTGTACTGCACAATGCTGTATTCAAAAGGTATCTCTATACTTTTGTCCACCCCAGCTACACCGAGAGGACCAGAATATTAGGAACACCTCTGAATATGTTGTCCAGTACAATACCACCTTTAACTATGAATTCAATAATGAGGGGGAAAAAAGTTGAGTTTATACATTTACAACAGTTTCACCAAACTCTGAAACATTCGGAGCTTCATAAAACACAGATGTTAAGACAGAAGTGTTGCACTGAAGTGTATACAGTTGTACAGATGTGCCTAATAAAGTGGCCGGTGAGTGTATATCCAGTGTTTGTTTTTATTTCTTTTTATGTATTCACAGTATATTCCAAGACAAGCATAAAAATAATGCCACCATAAAAGTGGACAGCATTTCTGTTTTTGAATTTTAATATAATCTGTTTCCATCCAACCAAACTGAGTGGCATTAGTTCTTCTTACCTGGGAGGCTGAATCTTGAACTTCTCAAAAATCTCAGGATAAAGCAGAGGGAACACTACCATCTCTTTTAGTGACTGAATGTGATTACTGAGACCACCCACACTGTCAAATTTCACCTGTAAAGAAAACACACATTTCCCACATATCCTATGAACACTTATTGTCTTTAAGACATCTTACGCCAACACATCTCTCTGTTTGGCTATCAAATTTATTGATAACTGTAATAAAAAAAAACAATATTACCTACATTTTACCCATGGCTCCTAAAAATTACAACCTTTCCACATTTAAAGCCTGAAGCTGCACTGCTCTGCAGTTTTTTTTTTGTATTTATTAGCAGTTCCACTCACAGAACTATCGAGGTTCATGGGATCCACATCAGCCAAGCTAGCACCCACTTTCACCCGATCACGCAGCACCCCACTAGCCAGGTCTTCTGCAGTTAAGTTCATGGGTAAACATCTTTGAAACAAATGAGAATGACAGAGATCAATACATAAGAGGATTAAAAACGCACAGTGGCCACTGTTACAGCCCTTGTCAATAAATTCCAATTACTTTGTGCCTCCTTAAAAAAATAAAAGTGTTCTGATCAAATCAAAAAGTAAGGAAAGGGAAGATAAAAGAAAGTGGCAGCTGTTACCTGTTCCTAGCCCGGGTCATGCTCTTGCTTTTCCTTCGCTCAAAGCGCTCTTCATCAGAAGATGAGGTGGTGTCACTGCTGTGAATGGCATGCTTCTTCACTCTGGAGGAAGTGTAAAAATCTCAATTTAGTGCCACATCAGTAAACTGTCACATTCCTTAATAATCAACAGAAAGCTTTTTATAATCACGGCTCAGACTTTATTAGTCATAATGAAAAAGCTGCTTTAAAAGGCCAGATCATGGTCTCTACTTGCCCTGGAGCAGACACGCTTCTGTTTAAGTGTAAATTGGCCCTACTAGTCACACTGTTTCTATTTTACACACACTAACACATTTAGCATCAGATCTGACTGAGATTCATCACAAAGTCAGTTTCTACCAACCTGATATGGCTTCTTCTTGCCGGGGATCTGTGAGTGTCAAAAAGTGAGGGGTTGCTCTGTTTTCTGTTCACGGGCTCTGAGAAAGCAAACACAAAGCAACTAGCTGTCAAAGATCAAGCTTTTAAAATACACAAGAATTATTAAATAACTAGACAACACAGCTAAACATTGCATTTGCAAAGGTCTTACTTAGGGGGGAAAAAAAGAGACTCATTACCAATGGGTGGTGCCTCATATCTCTGAACTGTCTTTCGCTGCCTCAGGTTGTATGGTCTGTCATTTTCCTCTTCTGCCTCTTCCGCTTCATCCCCTCCATCATCTTCATCTTCATCATCATCATCCTCTGCATCTTCCTCTTCTTCCTCACCATGAGACTCTGAAAGCAATTACTGTGGTTTTCAATACTACCAGATGCAAGCTTTTAAAGATTCACCCAAAGCACACTGAGCCATCAACTCTGCATTTTGGGCTTTTGAAAAGAAAAAAAAAGTGTCTCCATAAGGTATTTATCATGATTCATAAGGAGGACATTAGTATGAAACTGACCTTCCGTCCCTTCCTCCTCCTCTTCCTCCTCCTGCTCCGTTTTGCTCATGACTTTATGGTGTGTAGGCATGGTGTAAGTGCTCCTGCGCATTGATTTCCTGCGTTTCACCCGAGAATACATGTCCATGTTTTCCTGAAAGAACAGAGCCTTAATGCTTATCATTTGTGTTCATATTAGATCATCAAGCAGTAGCTCTTCTTTCGCTCTGGATTGTGTTACAAGAGATCCACACTCACCTCCTCAGTGTCTCCAGTCCACATGCGAAGTCGCTCCACCTCACGGTTCTGCCGGATGCTGCTGATGTTGTCCATCTCCTGAAGGACAGCCTCAGCAGTGCTACACACACAGAGTTACAAGCTGAAGTCACCTTCCAAGATGGATAGTATTCTAAAACCAGTTCAGTAATTTCCACTTCCTGCTTCTATTCTCTTCTCTTAGAAACAATATTACAAAAAAGGTGCCAGTAGTAGTGTAACTGACTGCTAGCTACCTGTTGACCAGCTGGTCAAACAGCAGGCTCTGATTGAGGTGTTGAAACTGGCTCTTCCTAACTCGGCAGCTCCTCTTCAGCTCCACATGGCCATTCATGTGAGAGTGATCTCCCCCTCCAAGATTTGAATTACTGTGCCCATTTTGCATTTTGCGAGAGGATAGCCTAGAAATAAAACGACAAAGTGAAAATGTATGGACATCTGCACAAAAGACAACAATTACACATAACACTGTTAAAGTATTTGATTTTAAGTTTGTCTGCAGTAGTCATTAGAATGCACAATAATGTGAATGAGGTCTGACTCGACAGCTGGTGACAGCAAATAGCCATCTACACTAACTCTGGCTGATTTCAACACTTTTTACAATTACATGAATTTGATACAACACTGTCTAAGCACAACATTTTAGTTCTGCCAAAGACAATGTTGTAATGCACTTGTCTATCTTCACGCACAGTATCATGTGCAATTTTCAGCAGCTGACCTGGTGCGGTAGGTAGGAATGCCCCAGCTGACCCTCTGGCTCTTAGTTTGAGGGGATGGGGAAGTATCACTGAAGCTGGGGTCAGAGGCGGTTTGCCGCCGCGTTCGCTTGGAAGGGGGAGTCAACCGCGGGCTGCTGGGACTGCTCACATCACTGCTGGGCTCCTTCTGTTAAACAAACACCATGCCAAAATTTGAGAGGAGGAAGGATTAATGCAAAAATGACAATCAATCGGAACACCAAGAAGGCCCAATACTGTGTCAGCCCTTTTTGCATAAAGAATTCATCCGGGCAATCACTATAAAAATCCGGAATATTAAGCTAATAACAAACAACTGTAACAAAAGTAAAAAAAATAAAATCCATAACAATTATAGGAGGACTTGGAAGACAGAAGTAAACAAGTTTTCCAACAGGTAAAACCAGAATAGACAGGGCACAGGTACCAAGCTCCTCGGTGTGTTCTATGAAAAACAACACCCGACATATGCCCTTGATGCTCACACCCTTCACAGTTTAACTGCCCTGTGGATATGAGAGCATATTTCACTGTTGTCACAGGCAACTGTGTGCAATGCCTGTAGGTGGGTTTGTGTGAAATGGACAGAGATGCAGGCAGCTATTTTTTGGAAATAACTTGTTCAGTTGAACAAGTATGAAGTTTATCTCCCTAAAGCTTTTGAATCACAAACTAGGCTAAAGTGTCATCAGTGAGCCTGCACTGCAAAGTACTGGACACAAACCAGGAATGACTCAAATTTCTTAAACTAGAATTCACAAAGGTATAAATCTTTGACAAACATCCCATTAAAACTCAAGAATGTGCTGTTTTGCATAATCCCAGTGTTTACATTTTAAAATAGACCATCAGCACGTAGGTCAGACGATCATAGCAAAATCTAAATATTAATAAACGTGTATTTTTGGGTATATCCTTCGGTGGAACGTTGTTTCAGTGCGTTTAAAACACTTGTTGTAAAAACAGACTGTTTAGGGGTCTTAAATACATTTGCAAGAGAGAGTTCACCAAGTTCAGACTTGCTAAATACGGGACTTGAGCCAGCCAACTGTTGTGAACCTGGGACTCCCTTCCCCCACTGTAAGCTAGCTGTCGGGCTAGCTATACCCTACCAACGCTAGCTTAACTATCGCTTTATCTCTTCATATTTAAGAAAATAATAGCGCCGATATCTGCAGTATGGTGGCATAAAGTACTGCCAATAGCACCACGTCGAAGCCGCAGTTGTCTTTATTTAGAAGGCTAATTTGTGGAGACAATCGTGAAACAAGTCAGCCGGGTAAAATTACCAAACACAAAGGGAACTCAACTTGGAGCTAGCCAGGAGTTAAGCTCGCTAGCATGCAATCTGACAACTGTACAATACGATTAGTACGGGTGACACGTATATGAATCGCTGCATCCATTTCTTTTATTGTGTATCTACGTGACTGAGAGGGTGTCAAGCTTAGTACTGCTTATATTTTGTTGTGAATAATACATTTTGTGGAGCACCTTGAGGCCACGGCTACAGCTACCTAGCCAACTAGCTCGCCGGCAAAGAAAAGAAACCGGCTTACATGTTCCTCAGAGTTTCTCTCGTTTCTCCGCGACGACCTAGTCCTCCTGGAGATGTAGGGACCGTTCCCAAGCCGTGAGCTTTTCCTTGTGTTCACCATGTTTTTTTCCTTTTGTCTGCCCTTACTGAATCTCTCTAACCGGCTCCAAACACTGCCTCAGTGAGAGCAGCATCGAGGTGCCATCTCGCTCTCTCTCTCTCTATCTCGCTCGCTCGCCCCCCTCTCTCTCTCTCGTGTGGCTATGAGTCTGTTTGGCAGGTGCATTCATTTCATATAATTACTGGCCTAGTTTTATAAAACAGAATTCCATAAAGTTAAATAGTCACTCCACTACTACTACTGAGGCACAGTAAGTAATTCACTGAATAATGCAAAATTACAACGTTGGTTAACCGAAGTACACCACATTACACCTAAGATAAATACACAGTATCCTTGTGACTTTTAACATTTTATTTCTTGTTGGAGTGGAGAGGAATAGAAAAGTGACTGGCTCGAAGCTGGCAGAGGACACATTAAAGTGGGCAGCTTTAAATTTCTGGAAATAAGTTCATTTCATCACAACATGCTCCAAGTCTAATCACCAAGTCAGACTTTTGGATTTTGCCATCCTGTTTTATTCTGACTTGACTGAAGATACAGCGCTGCTACCAATTAGTTTTGTGTTTTTCTTTATATATATATATATACATATATATATAAGATCCTGTGGGACTTCCAGATACAAACTGGTGGTGGACAAACAGAAGAAGAAGGCCGTAGTGATAGATGTAGCAATCCCAAGCGATAGCAACATCAGGAAGAAGGAACACGAGAAGCTCGAGAAATACCAAGGGCTGAAAGAAGAGCTAGAAAAGATGTGGAAGGTGAAGACACAA